ACTCTGAAGACGAACCTGCATTTTGCCTGTATTGTAGCCCGCGTGATACCAACTCATCAGCATATCGGCCAAGGCCTCGTCAGAAACAGCAGTCGCGGTGCCTGGCGGTGGAAGTTTGGGCATTCGTGGTCCTGCGATATTCGGTTCGGTTTATTCCAGACTATTAGTATGCACAAAAGTACCATACAAATATACCAACACACAAATTGAGACGAACCTACGTATGAATTTGTACAAGAGCGTTACATACATCCGATATATTTTCACGAATGTATGAATATATGTCAAACAAATCAGATATATTTTTATGTATTTGCGTGTACAAACTTGTATGTACTCATTTACATACATACATACACACACATACATACATATACATACATACATATATATATATATAGGTACATACATACATACATACATGCATACATACGTACAGTACATACATACAGACACACACACACACATGCATATACATACATACATTCTGTATATGAATAAAGAAATTAATAATAATAATAATAGAAATACTAATAATAGTAATAATACTATTACTATTACTATTATTATTATTATTATTATTATTATTATAAAAATATAATAATATTATCATTTATATATATCTATATATATATGCGTGTTTTTATGTTTGTTACACACCTGTATGTCTGGGCTCTGGGGGTAACGAATCACAACGGCAGACATCGTCCGCGTGTGGCAGGTACACGTATTCCCCTTGTACATGAGGTCCTTCATGCGCAGGTGCCGAGTGTGTACGCGGGTGCGAGTGTGTTCGGGTTGGCATATACGGGAGGCCGTACGAATACGACGGCATGTGAGAAGGGGCGCATGTATAAGGCGCTCGCAAGTGGTGTGCATGTGTAGTATGTGTGTGTCTGTGTGTTCGGCGATTGTCGTGCGTGTGTGGGTATGGGTGTGCGTGTGGGCTCTGTCGCCGCGAGTGTGCGGGCGGCTGTGTGTATGCCGGATACCGCGATGCATGCGCCGTCTCTGGTACAGTCTCGTACGCAAACGTTCGCGGACTCGGAGATGATCCCGCTTTCCGTCCGGCACTCTTCCCGAGACCATTTGATACGCTATTCGCATTGGAGTGTGTGTGCTCGTGGTCATGGTCGTGGTCGTGGTCGTGTCCATCCTCACGCACATATGCGTGCGGCGGTGCGCGTGTATGCGCGTACGTGTGCGCGTGTGGTTTCGACAAAGGTCTATGCGAATGCGAATGTGAATGCGAGTGTGAGTGTGAGTGGGCATGCGATTGCGTATGGGACGGCACAGGGGAGCTGTGCTCTATCTCTGCATCGCTATCTCTCGCTGGCGAGTACCTGTGTGTTTCTGTGGGCGTGTGTGTATGCGCGTGCGTCCGCGTATGCGCAGGCGTGTGTGTGGGTGGGTGGGTGTGCACGTGCAGATCTGGGCTTCCGCTGTACGTGTGTATGGGACTGCTCAGCGGCAGAATGGCGGCATCCGATTGATCGGAGACTGGGCCGGGTGTGCGGTGAGGGTCACCACTGTTCGTGTCATCTCGTGATAAGCTATGTTTCCTGCGCTTGTTTCTCTTATGCGTGACCAGGGTGGACGACTGGAATCCATCTGTGGCACGAATAGTGGATAGTGTTAGATCACTGTTCGAATACCAGGGGTTAAAGTGGGTAGCAATAGACAAATGTACGGGTGACAGTGTACTGTAGGGAGTATTCGAAGATTCGTGTACAAATACTAGTGTTGTGGGCGAGTGTTATGATATAATACGGTTACACGTCTGCAGTGAGTAATAGGTATGGAAACTAGCGTCTTTTGTTGAGCAATAACATTCATGAACGGATACTAAAAATTATAGTGGATAGTTAGAGTTTTGTAGTGGATAACATTAAACAAAAATATGAGGATAACGAACGGCATAACCATAAACATTTTGAATGATACACCTTTTACCACAATAGAAGAGCGAAAGCGAAAGAATTTAGCATTAAACACGCATGCGATATGCCAGTGAAAAATCTGCTCGTAAAAGCCCATGTCTTTGCAGGAAGCGCATACCCTCTCTTAAACTTGAAATAACATAGACCTTCGTGCTTACAAATTTAAAGCCATGTGAAAATGAACTAACTCGCTTTAAGTGAGACGGAACCACCTTGCTTCCCGTTTCGGATGTTGATGTATAGTTAGGCGGTTAGTCTAAGGCTGTATACAGATAAACGATTCGCCATTCTGGTCAATAAACACGTATACTGTACAAACAAACATGAGCTAAAAATATAGAATGCATGACATTATACGTACATTTATAATTATACATACACACAACAACACGCACAAACCACACAAACCACAAAGACTAACGTACCAGCACTATCATCATTGGCGAGGTCTGCGTGCGGGAATGGAGAGCCTTGGATAGCACGTTGCGAATCTGGGCTTTGGAGGGCGGATGTCAAAATCCTCTGGTCTGTTTGAAACAGGTAAGCAATTTCTAGTTATGAGCAGTTGGTTCAATCCTGAATCTCCATGAAACAGGTAAGAGAGGTGCACTTGCTTGCAACGCCTAGTGGCGTAGTACTTCATCGAGAGTGCACGTTGAGCACTTGACGGCCGTTTTATGTATGCGTAGTTGTACAAGGCTTACAACCACAGCCAGAGACTGTTTAATGCTAACCTGGGTCGACCTACATGTCCTATAGACTTTCTCCTGAATTTCTCCGAATCCTTAGCTTTTTAAACCATCGTCGGTGTTCGGCCTCAAACGTCACACCACAAAAGGAGCGCATGCCCATGAATATACTGTGTTTCGGACACAGCAAAGACGTCTAGCAGGCCCACCACTCCCACATCGATACATCAGTTATTTTCGTCAGATTTTACAACTATATGCCCTTCTTGCCGTACATGTTCTCAGCCTGGCACGGGCCTGCACCGCAATCAAACTCTCCCACAAGACCCACCAGCCGCCTACTGTGGTGCACTAATGCCACAACATGCACCTGTTAACTCACACTATATGCCTGTAATTCCCCTTTCCTTCTCGATTTACTTTACATACCTGTATTCGCTGTAATATCCAATGTTGTGAGAGAGTGCGCAATCTTGAGAGACGGAATAGGCGATGTTTCGGTCGAGTCTGTTTCGGAAATTTGTTCCACCTGATCTTGGCGTACTCGCTCACTCGTAACTAACGTTAAATGATTTTACATGAATATGAATATGAATGCTGC